GGTTGCAGCCAGTGCCCCCTAGAGGGGAAAGGTCCCTGCCCCATTCCACCCCATGAGGTTGCAGCCACTGCCCCCTAGAGGGGGAAAGGTCCCTGCCCCATTCCCCCCCATGAGGTTGCAGCCAGTGCCCCCTAGAGGGGGAAAGGTCCCTGCCCCATTCCCCCCCATGAGGTTGCAGCCACTGCCCCCTAGAGGGGAAAGGTCCCTGCCCCATTCCCCCCATGAGGTTGCAGCCAGTGCCCCCTAGAGGGGAAAGGTCCCTGCCCCATCCCCCGATGAGGTTGCAGCCAGTGCCCCATAGAGGGGAAAGGTTCCTGCCCCACTCCCCCCATGAGGTTGCAGCCAGTGCCCCCTAGAGGGGAAAGGTCCCTGCCCCATTCCTCCCCCCCCTGAGGTTGCAGCCAGTGCCCCCTAGAGGGGAAAGGTCCCAGCCCCATTCCCCCCCATGAGGTTGCAGCCAGTGCCCCCTAGAGGGGAAAGGTCCCTGCCCCATTCCCCCCCATGAGGTTGCAGCCAGTGCCCCCTAGAGGGGAAAGGTCCCTGCCCCACTCCCCCCCATGAGGTTGCAGCCACTGCCCCCTAGAGGGGAAAGGTCCCTGCCCCATGCCGCCCCCCTCCGATCATGTGGCAGTCGGCGCCCCCTAGAGGCCAAGGCCCCGCGCTCTGCTCCCGCCCGGGTCGCAGCCGCCCCCTGGCGGCCCGTCCCACCTGCTGGCGGCGCGGGCTGCTCTCACTGCACCAGCCGGGCCCTCGCCGTCCCGCGGCTGCTGCAGCGCGGCCCCCTCCGCGCCGCGCAGTGGAGCATCTCGCGGGGCTCGGCTGCTGCAGCCCGGCCGCTGCGCTCGGCTCGGCTCGGCTCGGCTCCGCTCGCTGCCTGCCCGCGTCACCGCCGCGCGCCCCCCCTCCGGCGGCCAGCTCCGTGCGGGGGGAGCGAGGGGCGGGAGGAGCGGAGCGAGCGCGCGGGGGAGGGGGGGGGGGGGGGGGGGGCAGGGGGAGCTGTTCCCGGCTAAGTTGCTGGTGATGGAGCTGTCGCTGCTTCCCTGGCTGCCGGGTTGGGCTGGATTCTGATTCTCCCTGGGAGGGGGAGACTCCCTCAGCGCAGGGACAGCGCCCAGGGGCCCAGAACTGTGTGTGTGGGGGGGGCAGGGTACCCCCCTCCCCCCTTCCAAGCAACCGACACGTGGGGCACTTTAAGAAATCAGCACGCCATCCGCTCTGCCTGTGACATCACAGCGAGTTGCCATGGAAACAGCTGTGACATCAGAGGCCAATGACATCAAGCCCAGAAAGGGAACAAACGGCGGGGGAGACGAGTGTGACTCACTTAAAGTGTCAGCCGCCATCCTTCCCTCCGCAGCCAGGGACTGGCCCCCCCGCTCTCAGCTCTGCCCCCACCCCCCAGCTCTGCCAGTACCCCTCAGTCCTGACCCACAGCCCCTGCGATCGCAACCCTGGGCTCCCCTGCCATAGCTCTGCTAGCGCCCCTCAAGCCTGACTCCCGCCCCGAGCTGCTGTGAGGCATGGTGTTGTGGCACACAGCCCAGCTCATTTCCTGTCTGTGCCCCATGCCAGCTGCTTGGGGGGGAAGGTTCAGGAGCCCTGCCCGGGCAGTGATAGGGTAATTAGGCACCCCTGTGCCAGGGGCCAGTCCCAGCTGCAGAAGCAAAGCCCCCCTGCCCACAGGAATCTGGTTGCTCTAGCCCTGTGCAGCGCCCAGACCTACCTGAGGTCTGGCTCAGTGGGACGCGCTGGGTAGAGCTCTCAGGGTGAAGCAGGAGGGCTGGAGCCCAGAGGCCCCATCTCAGAGGCGGTGAGGCTGCATGGCCAGCACTTCAGGAGGAATGGGACCCCTTGCGGGCCTGGCCCACTGAAGGTTTCCGCCACAGGACTGTTTAAAAGCTAGCACCTACAGCAGATCCTGTGGATCTGTGACACCAGCCATCGAGCCTGCCCATCCCCAGCTTCCTCCCCCCAGCTCCAGCCCTGGGCCATGCAATGGGCCTGCCCATCCCCAGTGCCCGACTCAGACTCAGCCCCTCATGCCTAGCACTGCTCAGCAGGAGCCCAACAGAAACGAATTGGTCCTGGCTGCATCTCTTGCACTGGTATCACTGGTGCCATTCTCCATGCATCAGCCAGGACCCACAACCCATCCCAGCCCCACCAGGCCTCATGGCCCTGGCAGATGGGTATGAGGCAGGGGGGCCAGAACTTCTCAAAAACACATCCCCACCCCAAGAGTCCAGCTGTGGACCAGACACTGGGCACAAAGGCTGGGAGTGTCCTTTCACGCCCAGCATCCAGGAGAGGGCTGCAGCACACAGGCCATGGGCTGCTGGTACAGCTCTTGATCCATTAGTCAGAGCGGGAGCACACGGCTCACACACAGCTGCTGAGGAGCAATCGCTGGCAGAGATGCCAACCAGCCACAAGTAAATCGAGCTCAGCTCATGTAGCTCAGCAGTTCCTGAGCTGGCCCTTGGTGCCACTGAATAGCTGAGCGCACGGCCGGCTGGGGGACGGAGCCCCAGGCTGTCCCACACCTGGCACCAAAGAATCTGTAAGAATCTGGAAATGACAAAAGTAGCTATTTGGGGGAGGGCTGGATCTCAGGACCCCTTGACTGAACGACCTCAGATTTTCCCCACAAAGTCTACCCCAGTCCCTGCTCTGTTGCAGCAGTTTTCAAGACAATCTCCTTCTGTACAGGGATTTTAAGCGCTTTGATTATTAAAGTCAGCTCCTTATTGGGAGCCTTATGTACTCCTCATAACACAAGAACTAGGGGTCACCAAATGAAATTAATAGGGAGCAGGTTTAAAACAAACAAAAGGGAGTATTTCTTCACACAATGCAGAGTCAACCTGTGGATCTCTTTGCCAGAGGATGTTGTGAAGGCCAAGACTATAACAGGGTTCAAAAGATAACCAGATAAATTCATGGAGGACAGGTCCATCAATGACTATTAGCCAGGATGGGCAGGGACAGCGTCACTAGCCTGTTAGCCAGAAGCTGGGAATAGGTGACAGGGGGTGTCACCCTCTGGGGCACCTGGCATTGGAAGACAGGTTATTGGGCTAGATGGACCTTTGGTCTGACCCAGTATGCTCATTCTTACAAGGGTAGACAATAACTGAGAAACCCCTTTGAGCACATGATGGTGGCTGGCACCTCGAACCACCATTGGCCTGAACATGGAAGCAGACACTTTGTGCAAAACATTTCATCTACCCATTTTTCCATCAAAACTCCTCCCACCTTGGGAGGCCCTTGTCAGAGTCCTAGAGGAAGGAACCACCAGGCAGATCATCTGGTCTAACCTGATCATCACAGGCCACCAGCATCGCCCAGCCTTGCTCAAACAACCCCAAATTTGGACCAATACCCTACCCCAGGCTTCCACGGGGTACAGCAAGATTCAAGCCAATCCAGGTAAGAACATGGATTTTAGAGCACTTACAAGTATGGGCTGTTAACCAGTGAGTGAGCCTAACCCTTAGCTGTAGTGACCCTGCCACCCCACCCTAACCCCCTCCAGTAACAGCTGGGTGTTCCCCCCTCCGCTCCACTGGAACATGCCCTTGATCTGGGATTCTAACCCTGCAGGGCTCCAAGGAGGAGGCCAGGCTTGAGTGCTGGACCCACTCACACTGCCAGCTGGCTGGTCATGCTGAGTCAGCAGGATGCTTGGCTAAGACAGTGGGGAGGCAGGGCCAGGCCGCGGTGCAGGCAGAACACACGCTCAGAACGCAGGGGGTCGAGCAGTGCAGGTGCGACTAGAGTAGGGCCAGCACAGCCCCTCCCAGATGCAATCCCAGCACCACCATGCTGCTTTCCCATCAGCCTCGGCGACTGAGCCGTATGCCCCAGGCACACTCCCAACCACCAGCTGGGGAATGTAGCAGGTGACATGGCTCCGCGTGATGCAGTTCCAGGCTCCAAGTGCTGTGGGCTTTCTCCAGATAGCCCAGGGCATTCAGCATCCTGCCCCCGGTGCAAGGCAGCCTCCCTCCTACGAGCTGCTGCTGCTGCTTCCAAGGCCCTGGGAGGCTGCAGGAATGTGCCGTGGGAGGGGCCAGCTCCTTCCTCGTCACCGGGAGCAGCACAAACCACAAGGGCCAGAGGCAGGTCAGAATCCCAACGCTTTCTTTTATTGAGTTATAAAAACAAACACGTTATAAAGATGTGAGAAAAGCCACTGGCTCCTCTCCCTGGAGATCCCTGCAGCATGGCCCAAGCGCCAGCTTCCCCAGCGCTGACTGCCGGCAACAGCTGCACTCCAGCAGGACCTGCTCCAGATCCTCAGCTGCTGAATGCTGAAAGGTCTGTGTGGGGTACGGCAGAGCCGGGTCTTGGGTGGGAAGGTCCGTGGGAGGGCAGATCTCCAGGTTCTCAGATGCTCATTGGTGGGAAGGTCCATGGGGCAGGGCAGCAGCTGTTACGTACGGGCATTGCGCTCTGTCTCTGCCAGACACTCTCTCACCAGCGCCCGGGCGTGGATAATGCCTGCAAGGGGAAAACCCAAGGGAGCCTCAGACCTGCCGAATGGCCTCCGAACCCAGCCCAGCAGGGCACAGTGCCAGGGCCACACCTAGGCCACCGCAGGGATCCAAGCACTTTTGGAGCTCGATGAGGTCTGGCACCAGCTCACAGCCAGGAGCAGAATGCCCACCGGCAGGGCTGAAAGGGTAGCATCAGCCTTGCGGGAGAGGCACCAGCCAGGCCCCCCCCCCCGACCTCAGCACAGGAAGGACGGAGTGGATCCCAACTCCTCAGGCTTCATCTCCACTCTCACGGCATTGGGCCATCGGCACCGCAGGCACTGGTGGGGAGCTGTAGCTTTAAGTGGCTGCACGGGGGCACTCATGGCTTTAGCCTGTGGGGGATGTCTCTCCTCTTTGCCTCCCTGTTGGGCAGGGATGGAGGGGACCTTACAGTGGGCAGAGGGGTGAACTCCTCCTTCCCACCCGGGAACTAGCTGCCCCACAGTCCCTCACCCCAGTATCTGACATTGCATCCAACAGCGATGGATACACACTCACAGGATGGCGCTGCCAATGCCACTGGCAGAAAACAACGCTGACAGGGCAATTGTCCTCAGGGGGTTTGGCAAGAACTGCCATTGAGATGCCCGGGGCAGCCCATGGTCCCCTCCCCGTGATGGGCTCAGGCTCGCTGCAGTTTCAGGCAGCGTCGGCCACACCCAGGGCAGCTCTCCACCCCCAGCACCAGCAATGGGCTCAGACTCGCCCCGCACGGCCCAGCAACCCCTCTGCAGCCTCAGTCAGCATCACTGCACTGATCACACCTGGGGCAGCTCCTCCCCTCTCCCCCAGCAATGGCCTCAGGCTCTCTGAAGACTCAGGCCGCATCAGTCACACCCGGGGTAGCTCAGGCTCTCAGCAGATGGCTCAGACATTCAGGTTGGGTCACTGAGTCAGTCACACCCAGCGCCTCGTACCTCGTTTCAGCCGCTCCATGGCACTCTTGCTACCTGCATAGGTGGGTCGAATCTCTTTGCCCATCTCCTCAATGACTGAGAGTAGGTCAGTGTACGTGCTCTGGGAGCCCTGGGAACCTGGTGGCTTCATGGCCTGCAAGGGGCAGAGACAGCATGAGGGAGCCAGCCCTCCCCAGGCCATGCTGGGCCAGGCAGCAGAGGTGGGGGCAGCGGCTCACCTGCACGTAGCCCATGGACGGGGGGCCAAAGTCGTTGAAGAGGGGCCGAAAGGGGGCAGAGGCTCCAGGGACAGATCCGGATGGCGATGGGACACTCGTGGCTGAAAGAGATGGGAAAGGAGAGGGGAGGTCACCCAGGAAATAGCATCCCTGTTCCCGAGCCAGTGCCCTGTGGCCAGCACCATCCAGCACACAGGCCCCTCCCAACCCTGCTGTGGGCTGCAGCAATGCTAGAGAGGCCGCAATATCCCACTCATGGCACATGGTGTTCCTTCCCCCTGCTGTGCGGGGTGGGTGGGGTAGTGGATTGGATCTGCTGGGCTTCAGTTGGGGCAGGGCTCTAGCCCTGGTGCTGTTCAGTGATATCTGGCCTGTGCCATTCGCTGCCACCACAAACCAGAGGGGGAGAATCCGCTGCTTCCTCTCTTTGCTCCAATGTCCCTGCGATCTATCGACCCCCTGCCTATATCATAGCACCCAGGCTGTGCCTCACTGCTAGACCTACAGCACACGCCCCGCCAACCCCTCCAAGCTTGTCTAGCTGGGCTCCTACACTGGCGCTATCACCATGGTACCAGGGCTTCTGCAGGGATTGCCCTTCCCCCTTCCTTTGGGCTCAATGCAGCCTTTGACACTATGGCCCTTCTCACTCCATGGAGGACTCAGTTCCATTCTCAGCTCTCGCCACCTTCCTGGGGCTGAGAGGCTGGGCGCAGGGCTGGGAGGAGACCAGGGCTCTCGCCCTCTCCCTGTGCAACCCCACTTGCCAGCTGTGCCATGGGCAGAGTACCACTGACCGAGTTCTGCCAGGTGCTGGGAGCATTAACCCCCAGCTCACAGCAGCACCACGGGCTCCTCTCCCCACACACCCTGCTGGCCTTGGCCACGGGTTTAGCTCAGCTTCCTGCAGCCAAGTGTTGCAAAGGAACAAAAGGCTATCTTGGGCAAGAGCTGCCTCCGCCCCACAACCCCATCTCCACTGCCCCTCCTCCTACTCCCGGCCTACACTTGCTCCACTGCCCAGAACCTGGGCATCGTCTGTGACGCTTAATTCTCTGCTCCCCCTGCCTTGGCTCTACAGATCGGCCCACCACCCCAAACCCCTGCTCTAGCATGCTGCAGCTGCCTTCCTCTGGGCACAAAGCAGCATGGGTACCTCCATGCATGCAGTTCACTCGCCTTCCCTCCAGATCCCAACAAGTCACCCTGCTCTCTAGCGCCTTCTCAACACCACTCCAGCCTCCCTACTGGCCTGCTGTCTCACTCAGACCATCCGGGTCTGGCCTCCTGCATAGCACAGGACAGGGAACCCACCCAGCCCAGCTATCTCTCGCCTCCCCTGCTTCCTCCACTTGTCTGGCACCAGCTCCTCACAAAAGGGTCAATGTCAGAGCTTCCCCCACATCCTCCATCGTCTGCGTCACCAACTTCTCTCTCTCTCTCGTCAAGTCTCAGCTACAAGCATCTCTCCATTTGCCTCAAGCCACCTGCAGTATCAATCCTGGCCTAGAGAACTCCTTGTTGGAGCAGAGAAGTGGGAGACTCCTGGGTCCCTCATGCAACGGTTTGACTGTTATGGCTTCACAAAATATCTTCTCTCCCAGCTGTATGCCAGGCATTAGCATGAGACAAAATCCAGATGTTTAAACCTGCTGACTAAGGCCTTGTCTACACAGGGTGGTATTCCAGAATAGCTGTTCCATGTGTCAATGCTCTTACTCCAAATCAGTTTAATCCACTTCCCGTGTGGATTAAACTAACTCAGAACAAGGCACTCTTGTTCTGGAATAAAGGCATTCACACATGCAGTTAATCAGGAAGAGTTAATCCGCTTTTGATTCACATGCCAGCTTCTTCCAGGTTGACTTTCATGTGTAGACATGCTCTGAGCTTCCCTTCCAAGCCCCACAGCTGAGGATTCACTTTTTTGGTGAGGTCACAAGCCTATGGACTGTCCCAGGGGTCAGAGAGTCTTACAGGAGAAAAATGGAAGACGAGATCTGAATATCTAACATGAGTCACACAAGCAGATCAAACCACCACCACAGTACAGCTTTCTTTACACATCATACAGCAGCAAAAGCCAATACCCCTCCACCCCCCCCAGCTGTGACATTTCCTGATTTTTGCATGCTTAAAATATGCAGCATCTACTTCAAAAGAAGGTGCAAGATACTCTGCAGTAGCAGTTATGGGAGAGCCTGCCCCATGGCAGATAGAATAGTAAGTATTAAATAGTAAGAACTGGTTCTGGCTGGATGAAAGGAATCCCGTTAGATATCTGATCCTTTTCTGTATCCAGCTAAGGTCTTGGCCTCAGTGATAGCCCAGGGCAGTGATTTCCCTTTACCAAAGATTCCTGGAGTTAAAAGCAGCGAGCCTGATGTGCCACATTCCTATGTCATTGAATGCCCTTGTTCCCTGCATTACGACAAGGGAAATACACAGTCCTGCTCGACAGTCTCTAGGAGTCCATTCAGTGTTTTGTACCCTTTTGTCAAATCCCCTCTCTGCCAAGCTGAGCTATCCCAACCTCCTTCCAGGGCGGAGAGTTTCTTGTCGCTCATCTCTGAAGCCCCTCCAATTCTGCAGTGTCCCTTCTGTAATGGGTTGACCAGTACTGCACATCATCTCCAAGGGAGGGCTCCCCACTGATTTACGGAAGGGCATGCCGAGGATTTCAATAGTATTCCCCAGCCCATTCCTGAGGCAAACACAGCGCTGCGGTTGCCTTTCGCACAGTTGTTGCACAGCAAGCAGAGGAATCAGAGAGTGGTACAAAGCAGTGCCGTGAGTGGTGATGGTTAATACACAGCCCAGTAAAGTGGATGGTGAGTTCAGATTAGTCCCTCCAATGTGCATTACTTAGCATCTGTCCCCCTGGAATCCCATCTACCACGGTGCTGCTTTTTTCCCCTACCGTGGTTAGGTCCCTCAGAAGTGCCCTATCAGCAGGAGTCTCCCACTCCAGGAACAGAATTGACACTTCTAATGGAAACAACAAGGAGTCCGGTGGCACCTTAAAGACTAACAGATTTATTTGGGCATAAGCTTTCATGGGTAAACTTCTAGTTTATCACCAGCTACAAATGCAGCTTTTCTGCCTTCAGCCTCCTAATTCCTTAGGAGGGAGTGTACAAGATTGCACAGTTAACTGCTCTGAAGTCAGGAACGCCCAAGTCCCAGCTGCATGCACTACCCTGTCACCCGTAGGCAGCATTACGATAACAAGTCTGACTTCACAATCCGAGCTTATTTCTCAAACAACAAGCTGCTCTTCCAGCTCAGAGGCTACCAAAGCGTGCAGCATCTGCTACAGACAAGCAGGCTCTCCAAGTCACTGAATGGAAGACGACACAGCAAGCAGCTGAACGACCCACACAGCCAAGAAGAGCGAGTGGGGACAGGCCAGTTCACTTCACAGCCAAGCTGCACTCCAGGAAGGCCATCTTGCGGTTTGAAAAGCAAATGCCTGGCCTGGTGCATAGCTCACATGGCAGGCTGGTCCAGGGGAAAAAGCACTGAAGTGGGTGTCAGAAGATTTTAGTTCCACTCCTTGCTATGCCATAGACCTTGGAGAAGCAAATTCCCC